ATCCCAGCTCCATTTCTTGCTAATGCATAGCAGCAAGTGATGGCTCAAATAGTTAAGTCAGTGTCAATCCATGGGAGACCTGGATTGAGTTCTGAGCTGCTGCCTTCAGCCTGGCCCAGCCCTGGCTGTTTGGCTGTTGTAGACATTTGGGAAATGAATCATGGGAAGGAAGATTCTCTTTCTCTCTTTTTCTCTCTCTCTCAAATAAAATGAAAGTAAACATTTTTAAAGCCATAATCAGGGCAAGCACTGTGGCGCAGCAAGTTAATGCCTGGCCTGTTTGACTTCTGATCCAGCTCTCTGCTATGGCCTGGGAAAGATGGCCCAAGTCCTTGGGCCCCTGCACCCACCTGGGAGACCTGGAAGAAGCTCCTGGCTCCTGGCTTTGGATCAGCTCAGCTCCAGCCTCTGTGGCCATTTGGGAAGAGAAACAGCAGATAAAAGACCTCTCTCTCTGTCTCTCTGCCTCTGCCTCTCTGTAACTCTGACTTTCAAATAAATAAATAAATCTTTAAAAAAAATAAATAAAGATAATGCAGCAACTAGCAGGGAAAATAGCTGGAAGAGCTTTCTGTTTTTGTTTTTTAAGAATTGCTATATCTGGTGAGTAAGTGGGGATGGAAACTTGAGGGCCGGCGCCGCGGCTCAGTAGGCTAATCCTCTGCCTGTTACGCCGGCACACCAGGTTCTAGTCCCGGTCGGGGCGCCGGATTCTGTCCTGGTTGCCCCTCTTCCAAGCCAGCTCTCTGCTGTAGCCAGGGAGTGCAGTGGAGGATGGCCCAAGTGCTTGGGCCCTGCACCCCATGGGAGACCAGGATAAGTACCTGGCTCCTGGCTTCAGATCAGCGCAGCACGCCGGCCGCAGTAGCCATTGGAGGGTGAACCCAACGGCAAAGGAAGACCTTTCTCTCTGTCTCTCTCTCACTGTCCACTCTGCCTGTCAAAAAGTAAAAAAAAAAAAAAGAAAGAAAGAAACTTGAGAAGAGGCACATCATTATTTCTCATATATGTTCTGTTGTTTTTAACCATGTTGATGTACGTTTTGATAAAATTTTAAATTTAATACTTAAAATCTCTTCCTCGGAGATGCACTTCCTGAGCTCCCACACATAAGTGGGTTCTCCATTGTCTTATCTTTCTCCAAACTATGTCTTCATCAAGGTACTTGCTTTGATGTTATTGTTTTAAATTTTTATTTGAGAGGGAGGGAGGGAGGGAGAGAGAGAGAGAGAGAGAGAGAGATCATGGCACTTGACACCCATTCGCATGACTATAATCAAGCCTGCATGTGGCACAGCAGGTTAAGCTGCCACTGGTACGCTGGCATCCATATCAGAGTGCTGGTTCCAGTCCTGGCTCCTCCATTTGTGATCCAGCTCTCTGCTAATGTGCCTTGGAGGCAGCAAGGTGGGCTACTGCCACCCTTGTGAGAGACCTGGATGGAGTTCCTGGCTCCTGGCTTTGGCCTGGACCAGTCCTGGTTGTTACAACCATTTGGGGAATGAACCAGCAGATGGAAGATCTCTTTCTTTCTCTGTCTCTCCCCTTGTCTGTGTCACTCTGCCTTTCAAATAAATAAATCTTAAATAATAATAATAAAAAAAAAAAAAGACAGCCAAGGGACGGACATCTGGTGCAGTGGTTAAGCTGCTGCTTGTGACTCCTGCATCCCGTATTAGAGTGTCTGGTTCCAGCCTGAATCCTCCATTTCCAATCCAGCTTCCTGCTAATGCACACCCTGGGAGGCAGCAGATGATGCTCAAATATGTGAGTCCCTGCCACCCACGTTGGAGACCTGGATTAATTTCTGGGCTCCTGGCTCTGGCTTGGCCCACCCCTGGCTGCTATGGGCATTTGGGGAGTGGACCAATGGATGGAAGAGCTCTCTTCTGTCTGCTTTTCTCTCTCAGCCATTCAAATAAAATGAAAATAAATAATAAGTCTTTTTAAAAAGACAGCCAATAGTGTCTGTTGATAAGGATGTGGAGAAATTGCAATCCTCATACGCGGCAGACGGGAATGTAAAACAGTGCAGCTGCTTCTGAAAGCAGTTTGGCAGTTCCTCAAAATGTTAAACATAGAGCAAACATGTAACTCTGCAGTTGCATGCCTGCACAAGTAGCCAAGAGGAGCAAAAATAGATGAAAACATGCACAGAATGTTTACAGCAGTCTTATTCATACTAACCAAAAACCTGGAATGACCCAAACATCCATCAGCTGATAAATGAATAAATCAAATGTGGAATGTCCACACAGAGGAATATTCATTGGGAATAAGAATGAATTAATGGTGCACACTACAACATGGATACACCTTGAAAACATCACAGCCAAAGAAGCCAGTCACAAAAGGCCACATTTGTAGGATCTCATTTATATTAAATATCCAGAAAAGGTGAATATCTATAGAGACAGAAAATAAATTAGTGCTGCCTAGGGCTGGAAAATGGAGTAGAGACAGAACGAGAAGTGGTTGCTTCCGATTTTCCTGTAAGGGGGAAGAAAAATATTCTAAAATTAGATTTGGGGAATGGTTATAAACCCTTAGGAATATACTAAAAACATTGAACTGTACATTTTAAATGTGCAAATTGTGTAGTGTGTGGATTACATCTCAATATATCTGTTTAAAAAGATAATCCCCTACCCAATCAGCTATTGGTGAAGATGTGGGATGGCGGGTGGCATGTCAGGAAGGGGTGGGCTAAGCTCAAGCTAAACAGAACCAACCCCGTGTGCTCGGGTCTGTTCTCAGAAAAGAGGGGATCACCATGAATTTGGAAGTAGCCTCAAGCAGTAGCTTTCCATTCTAAAGTAATGCAACCCTGAAACCTTGGGAGCTAGGCATGAACCTATGCAAGTGCCCAAGACTATTATTATCACTCACAGAACAGGGTATGCAACCATATTTACTTTCAACCATGGCTTGGCTTAGAAATAATTGAATTTTCCACATCCTATAGCTAAATGCAATTTCTAATTATTTTTTGGCTGTTCATATAAATCCCAAGTAAATCTGTGGAGTTTCTTCTCCTAGTACAAAAGGAATGAATAAAAGTAATTGTCATGTCTGATTTACCTAGGATTTTGTTGAGCAGCCAAAAGTAAATATTGCAAATAGTTGTCAGCTATGCAAGTTTGAACAGGTGTTTGTCTAAAGGAGGGCTATATGTCTATGTTTAGGAATGATTGAATCAAAACAGATTGTGGCCGGTGCCGTGGCTCACTAGGCTAATCCTCCGCCTTGTGGCGCCGGCACACCGGGTTCTAGTCCCGGTCGGGGCGCCGGATTCTGTCCCTGTTGCCCCTCTTCCAGGACAGCTCTCTGCTGTGGCCAGGGAGTGCAGTGGAGGATGGCCCAAGTGCTTGGGCCATGCACCCCATGGGAGACCAGGAGAAGCACCTGGCTCCTGCCATCAGATAAGCGCAGTGCGCCGGCCGCGGCGGCCATTGGAGGGTGAACCAACAGCAAAGGAAGGCCTTTCTCTCTGTCTCACTCTCTCTCTCACTGTCCACTCTGCCTGTCAAAAAAAAAAAAAAAAAAAAAAAAAAAAAGATTGCATTTATAGCCTTGGCCAGACTTCCAAGATATTAAACATCTGCATGAAATGCTTTCTTCTCAACTCAGTGCACCTTTGCTAAGCAGAAATGTTGGCTGTACATCAGCACCAAGATGTCTCTGGGACCCTGGCAATTTTCCTGAGTTCAGTCTGAAGTTCCCTGAGCCAGGGAATTGCACTAGGGAAGTGAGAACTGACCCTAACGCCCCATCTCTGCTTTCCTCCCAACAACTGCCTATAGTGTTACAGAGCATTGGGAGCGCCTCGCCAGGCTCTCTGGACCTGCTCCTTTGGAAGAACAAGCCCCAGAAGACAGCTGTGAGCACAGACCCATGTCACACTCACGCCTTTCTCATTTACCTCATGCCTGGGCCGTTAGCTCCTGGGCAATTTCCTCCAGTTGGGGACTAAAGGGAGATAGAGAGAAGGCAGAGAGATTCCAGGTGTGAGTCAGCGTTGACACAGCTGCTGGCTTGGAGAAGAAGAGGCCCAGGAGCAAAGACCAAAGCAACATCTCTGGGAGCAAAGACAAGTTCCTGGCTTACAGAGAACAAGGAGACAGGTACCCCAGTCCTACAACCGCAAGGAAGTGGATCCTGCCACCAACTGAATGAGCTTGGAAATGGAGTATTCCCAGAGTGCCCCCATGAGAACCCAGGTGACCCCTTATTTTCCAAGAATGTCAGAGCAGAAAAGCCAGCCCAGTCAACCCTACAGACTTCTGATTTACTGAGATAATTCATGTTGGGTTGGACAGTCAGCATGTACTGAGCACCAGAAAACAGACACCATGACAAACATTTTGATAGGTACCACCTCGCTCAGCCCCCACAACTTGCATTACCCCAGTTTCAAAGTTGAAGAGTGAGGCTTAGTCACAGATCCAAGTCAAGTCACCCAGCTGGTCCTGCCCAGCAAAGCCAGCATAGGAACCCACACATCTCCACAGGACTTTTGCTATACAATGACCAATTGCTGCCATTCAATAACAATAAGTATAAGTGATCTGACTTGTAAACACAATTGTTCTTGTGAATTCACATATGTATGTCCATAAAAATTTTTTTAAGGGGAAGATGTGTGTTTGGCACAGTCACTACTTGGGATGCACACATCCCATATCAGAGTTCTGGCTTAAGCCTCAGCTACTCTCCTTCTAATCCAGCTTCCTGCCAAGTCACACCTTAGGAGGCAGCAGATGATGGTTCAAGTTCTTGGGAGACCTGGATGACATTGTGGGCTCCCAGTTTCAGGAGAGTGAACCAGCAAATAGAAGATCTATCTCTCCCCCCCCCCCCCCACCCAATGTTCATAGTGATATTTTTTTTAAAAAATTTACCCATTTATTTATTTGAAAGTCAGAGTTACAGAGAGAGAGAGATATTCCACCTGCTGGTTTACTCCCCAGATGGCCGTAACTGCCAGGGCGGGGCCAGACAGAAGCCAGGAGCCAGGGACTCCATCCTGGCCTCCCACATGGGTGGCAGGACCCCAAGTACTTGAACCATCATCCACTGCCTTCCCAGGTACACTGGTAGGAAGCTGGATCAGAAAGAGGAGCAACCAGGATTCAGAACTACATTCCAAGATGGGATGCCAGCTTTGCAAGCAGCAGCCTATGGCTATGCCACAACTCTGGCCCCCATAGCAATAGCTTTGAATAGTAGGAATAGTTATTTGTTACTTTGCTATACTTTTTTGTCCAAATGAGTTTATAATGAATATGTATTACTTGCATAAAATATTTATTTTCACTTTTTAATTAGAAAATGAAGATGAGAACTTATCAAGAAGACTCTGATGTGAGCACCCACCATTGTATTCATCTCATACACTCAGGTCTCCAGTCCCAGGCTGCATGTCTGGGCTTTCACTGTGTCCATCCCTCTCAGCCTCCCAGGGCCCTCAAGGGAGGTGCAGAACCTGCTCTGGGCCTGGTAGCATAACAGTCACAGGGATTAGAACAGGAACATCTTTGGGGTGGAGGTGGGGGAAGGTGTCATCCTGATTGTCCTGCCTGCCACAATCACATTGGCATAAATCATAATTATCCTGACCCAGATTATCCCAGTGGGCTCCAAGTGGGTCCCTCTGCTTCCACCCTTGCTTCCCCATGCCTACTCCACTGCAGGTCTCTCCCAGAAGCCAGGGAATGCCACTTAAAATGCAAGTGTGACCACGTGATCCTCAGTCAACGCTCCCCAGAGAAGAAACGCCAAAATCCCCAAGACCATGAGGCATCTGCAACCTCCACCACTAAGTGGCCTCCATTTCCTCCTCCTTACTCAGCACCAGCCACACTGGCCTTCCTGAAGATACTTATGAGGAGTCAGAGGAAAAGAATTTAGAAAAGATTATTATTTTTTAGGACAGGGTGTTTTTTTCTTGTTTTTTTTTCTTTTTTGATCCTGAACTGTGGTGAATCTATATGTAAGCGGATGAAAGAGAAGTCTGAACCTCCCATTGAATTTTTTAAGACTCCATTTGTTAGACAAAATATGAGGAAATATGGCCTATTTTATCACCTTTTAAAATCACCTTTTTTCCTAAATGGCCACTTAAACACAGATAGCAGTACAGACGACAAACTGGAGGAGCAGGCTCTACCAGCCTATCCCACGCACCTGTTACCTGAGCTCTGCACTCTGCAGCCAGCAGCACACCTAGGTGTAGCCGCCTTGGCAACTTGCCCAAGCTGAGCAAGAACTCACCCCTGTGGTGAGCACAAATCACTGCTTGACATATGCCACTCACGTGATTTCAGAACAGAGTAGAAAAAGGAAGCCCAGACCCCCCCCCAAAAAAAGGCAGAAAAGTCAACAAAGGCAATTAAATAATGGGTTAAGTTTTTCTTAGAGGAGAAAGCCAAGAATTGTAAAACAAGAATGTACAACCTCCTTCCCACTCCTCATGCCCTAGTTTTATTTGTAGAATTCAAATAGAGAGTCTGTTTTTACTAAGATTTCCACACTTGGCTTCTGGCACCAAGACAAACAAAAAGTGTGGTACATGCCATTTTCTTAAAGCTGCTCATTTCTTCTGAATAAAGTTTGCTTTCTGAGGAGTCATCCTGTTCACACAAATAAAATGGTACCTATAATTGATATAAACCCTTATCATCAATCTCACGACATTATGTGAATGATCATTACAAGGAAACGTGTTTGGCACCTGTTTGGATCCTAGCCCCACCGCTTCCGAAGAATCTGTATTTTTCTAAGGCAACTTCCTTAGGTTCCCTCTCCTGGTTTTCCACGCTGACAGCTGAAATAAAAGTTCTCCAGGGTATCAACATCAGGCGTCTGTCCCAGACTGAGGGCAAGTGACGCGTGGCAACATGCACTCTGGGCCCAGGACCCCCCCGTGGGAATGACAGCGCCGGCAAGGGTCTGCCAGCCTTTCTGTTGCCTTACCCGTCTTAGCCTCCTTTTCCTTCTTACGGAACTTGGGCATTTTATAATTGCATAAGTAGCTGAGAGCACACAATTCAAAGCTGCTAAAAATAAATACTTTAAAAACTGACTGTGGAATGGGTGTGACTACAAACACACTTTCGCTGTGAAAGGGGAGGGGAGGGGCTACACGAGGCTCTGCGGAGGAACTAGACAAAGCACCAGGATGAGGCCGGTTTTGCTTCCGAAAACCGAACAGGTTCCAGGGTGGTCTTCGCCCTGCGGGGCGGTGGTGCTTCCCGCGAGCCAGGTTAGGGGAACCGGTCCAGCCTCGCCTGCTCAACCTCCAGGCGCTTCCATCAGGACACAGGGCAGTGTTTTAGGGGACCATTCCCCAGGTCAACTGGGGACCCAGCGGAATTTGTAACCCCCTGAGGCTGTCCGGATGGTGAAGGCGTTGCCCTGGGGGAAGGCGAGGGTGCGGATGGTGCTGTGGCTGCGGATGGGGGTGCTGAAGGAGCCGCCCTCCTCCAGCTCACTGCGGCTCAGGTTTAAGGCACCCTGGTTGCAGGCGGTGCGCAGTCCCCGGAAGGCGCCGTGCAGGTTCCCGGGCCTGCCGTCTGTGTTCGCGGGCTCCGGCTGCAGCCGAGGCCGCTTGGGTTCGCGGCTCCGGAGGGCTTCATCGCAGCGCTGGGAGATCTCCCTCAGCACGGCGTCCACTTCCGCGCAATCCTGCCCCGCCGCGCTGAACAGCTCCTCCAGGCTCCTTTTGGCCGTCGCCTTGAGCAGCAAGGGCTCGGCCGCCGCTCCGCCACCGCGGGACTGCGTGATCATCAACTTCTGCGAAAGACAAGGGCAAGTGCCGCCCTGAGGCCAGACAGGCTCCTCGTGTGCAGGGCGCGCCCAGGGAGCCCCGCGCGCACGCCGCCTTGCGCGCCCGGCCGCCCTCTGCTCTCCCGGAGCCCCGCTGGGTCCCAACACAGGCACCGGGGCACCGGAATGGCTCCAAGTGCTTCATGGTCCCTCACACCCGCGCCCCACTTACATCCAGCACCGAGGCCAGGTGCCGGGTCCGGCGGGCGAGTTCTTTGAGCTGCACGTTCCGCTCCTTGAGCGAGGCGATCTCCTCCTGCTTTTGGGTCAGCGTCTCGTGCAGCTGCAAGGGGAGACCCACACAGCTGCAAGGGGAGTGGGCCGCCGTGCTCTACCTCGTCTGCGTGAATCAAACGCAGGTCCCGACGCCCCTTCGGGAACTGGGGGGGGGGGGGGGGAGGGTCCTCAGGGCATTGTTGCTGGCGAGGCTCCTAAACCATTTCTTTGACTTTTTTTTTCCTTCCACAAAGCATTTGGACAAAACATATCTGTAGCATGTAGTGTACCAGGCAGATTAACAACCCCACACCTCTGTTTCCTTCTCTGTGAATTGGGGCTGGTGACGTAGCTAGCTCAGCGGTGGTATTAGGTAAGAGGAGAAAGCAAAAATTATAAGCTCATGGAGAGCCTGGGTGCACGCTGGCGACCCTATGAAACATCTGGTAGGACGGGATTACCCCCACTGGGTGATGCTGGACACCCTGGGGTTGCACCTGGAGCAGTAGCAGCCACGCAGACCTTTGGCGGGGCCCCTGACACCCACAGGAGCGCACCCGCACCCTTGCAACCCCACTGGCTCCCCGCGCTCCAGACTCTGTCTCCGCCCCCAGGATTCCCGGTGTTAGCTCCGCGTCCCTACTTGGTTATTCTCAACGAGAGCGTTCCCCAGCGCCCTCTGGTTCTGGTCGGCCACCTCCTTCCAGTACTGCTCCGGCGGGGGCACGTCCGGAGGGCGGAGCGGCGGGGACGGCAGGGCTCTTGGGTCCCGCGGCGGGGAGAGGCAGGGCTCGAAGGGCGATACGTCGCAGGGCGAGAAAGGGAAGTCACCGCCGGCCAGGGGAGGCGACATCAACGAGGACGAGTCTGGAGAAGAGCGAGGGCTGGGTTTGTAGCCCCAGACGCACGCCCAGCTCGCTACGGCGGCGGAGCGCCACGCCCGGGGTGTGAGGTTTACAAGGAGATGTTTCTGTGTGAGGCAGGAGCCCCGCACTCCGCAATGCCTGCGACTCTGAGACCCTTCGTGGGATCCCGTACACGACATCAGGCGCCCGGTATGTGCCTGGTGAGTGAACCTGAACTGAATCAGGCAAAGCTGCCTGCTCCTGGAAGTCACCCAGGGCCTTGCTCCTCTGCACACTCGGGTCACACGGCCTTCCCCCTCCCTCCCTCCCATGGTGGGTTCCCTCTCCCAGAACTCAAACCCATAAACCCGCAAGTGCTACGGACCCAGAGGCGCAAGCTCTCATGGGGGATGTCCTACACATAAAAGGGCCTCGTTCTGTGAGGAGTCACTGACAGGTGACTGGGGGTACCACCTTCTCGACCATGGACTCTTAACTAGCCGGTCCTGGGGAGGTGGCAGGGCCCTTGCGGCTGTCAGTTACTTGCAAGGAGACGACACTTGCCTGCAATGAGGACATCCACCGTGTCTCTGAAATCCTGCAGCGCCAAGTCCCCTTCCGCTGGCAGAGAATGAGTCTAAAATAAACCCCAGAAGGAGCCCGGTGAATGTCTACTCCGGACCGGAACGGCTTCTAGGTGGGACAGACGCCCTTCCTGGCTCGGAGGCGGGTCTACATGCACTCGAGTTCGCAGTACCTGAAACCTCAAGCCCCATTGGAGACACGGAATCCAGCAGGCTTACACCGCCCTGGCGCGAAGCAAGATGCGCTGAACGCCCACCTGGTAGGCGAAGCTGCGACCAGCAGCCAAACTGTGCGTGGGGGGGCACACCAGGTGCAGGCCCCCGACCCCTGTGGAACCCCCGCACCAACTCACCCGACCCACCTAGGAGCCGTGGCTCTAGGAGCAAAGGGCACAGCCTTTCTGAATCCTGCAAAGCGGTCTCTGGAAGCCCTGTTTCCCGCCAAGACAACATGTCACAGCCAATGCCACTCCCCCAAACTAGGGGAAGGAGGCCCGGGATGCTGCCGTGTGGTCTCTGTGCGGCAGGCGTGGCCCCTACTGAGCTCTCCAGTTTCCCAGAGGTTGTAGCTGACTTTTGGGCAGCAGCCCACACACCTGCGACTTCTTGAACACCTTCCTGGGCTCCCGCAAGGTGTCTGGGGGGTGTGGGGAGGAAGGAGATGGCAAACGGCTGGAAACCCGGGAGCCTTCTGATAACCTTAATTCAGGGACATTTAGAATCCGCAGGATGCTCTTACGTTATCCCCATTTAATCCTCACACCAGTTTGGGAAGCAGGCTGGGGGGCCCCCCTCTCTGACTGCCGGAGAATCCATAGCCCCCAGAGGTTCCGAAGCGCAAAGCCCTTCCCCCAGCTCTGAAAGAAGGGATTTCTGGAGGCCCCGCCCGGCGCGATGCCGCTGTGCACGTCCATCCTCATTCCCCTGCAGCTCCTTGTCTGTGGTTCTCTTTGGAAGTGCCCGGAGTCCGATGGCCATGGCGAGCATCCAAAACGCCCATCAGAAAGAGCCATGCCTCTGTGTTAATCCTACTGTTCTCCCCAAAGCCCTTCTTTCCTATTCAAACATGAGTATTTGGGGTAAGAACTTATTCTGACCCCAACTTCTAAAGAAGTGTGAGTATCAGATTCCTAACAGGAAGATGGAGTGAAACTGGGCGACTTCCCTTGGTCCCAGGGGACACTGAAGCTATGTGGGGAAAGGAGCTGTGAGAGGAGGGGCTGAGAGCCCCAGGCAAATCCTGACCCCAGTTGAAGGGCTGCAGGCCGGTTCAGAGACCGGGACCCACAATGTGCCACCTCTTACGCTATCCCTGGTTTGGGGGCCAACTTGCACCTCTAGAGCCCTTCTTCCTCTCTCTGTCCACCTTCTCCAGCAGGTGTGCAGGGTCGGGGGCCTCTCTCCCTCCACACCAGCATTATTTTTCCCAGGAAAAGTCCCAAACCTTCTGATCCATCTGATATAAAGTCTGGCCTGGAAACTCTGAATCCTACCTCTCCAGTTAGATAAACCAGGCATTTCTCCAGCTCCAACAGCAAAGGGAAGAAGATGATTACCAACCCTAACCTGATGTGGAATTTAAGTGCTGTGTATACAGTGGCAAACATTCAGTGACAGCTTGGGTTTTGGTACAGAATAAACGTGTTGTGCCTCTCGGTCAGCTGACAGATGTGCAGGAGTTCCCTCTCCTCGTTTGAGCACACTAAGTGGTCTCTGCAAGGCAGACCACCTCTTGGCCCTACCAATCCCAGCTCTTAGCAGCCACTGAGCCTGAGTCCCCTGGGCTTCTACCCCAAGGTGCTTTTCAATGAGGCTTTAGGTGGAGGCCTCAGAAGTTCTGCTCCACCACCAGCTCTGCGAGGTGGTTGCATCTTCTGGAGAGTTCTATGCTGGGTTGGTCCCCCAGGGACCTCATGGCCCCAGCACCAGCCACTAGGAAGCTGGAACCGGCACTATGTTTATGGGCTGCATCTGGCCAACTTCTTATTCTTCTGGGTACTTCAAGTTTCACCGATGAGCCAGGCCTCCGACTTCCTAGATTCCAGAACTGGGAGGCTCCATGCCCTGCCTGGGAAGGGCCAGCCCTGGCAGGAGGCAAAAGTGGTATAGAAATAAGACAGATTTGGTGGGAAAGGAAAAGGCCAGAGTCCTCTTTGTCCACGACAGCTATGACCAGAGCTTTAGAAGGGGGAGAAGAAGTTGTGCAAGTGCCCAGCTGCTGCAGGGCCATGTCTGCAGAGGGAACATTTTCTGTCAAATTTCTTCCAGGGTCTTTTGTCCTCTCCGGTTCCCCAAATGCAAACTCTTTCTCTTCTCCGGTCTTGATGGGAAGTTATTCATGGACTTCCACTCTCCTTACTCAGCCACGGAATGAACACGGTTGGTAAATGGCCTGGAAGGCGCTGGGGCAAGGAGCGTGCGTTCCAAGAGCAGGGGCACAGAGCACAAAGTAGCTCCCACCCACCCATCCCACCTGGTCCGTCGGTGGGCATCTGCACCCCGTTTTGTCACAACTCCTAGAACGAGTTGGGCAGGGTTGGGGGTGTGTGGCAGGGGAGCCCTCCAGGCCAGCCCCAGACAACCAAGGAAATGTGGCTTTCCCAACACACTAGGAGGGATGAGGAAGCGCGGATCTGGGAGGCTCAGGTTCTTGCACTGCGCCTTGCACCGTGCCAGGTGAATGTGCCTGCGCCCCTAGCCCGAGGCTAACCTCTAGCGAAATAAATGCGTCTCTCCGGGGTGGGGTGGGGGTTATCAGCGGCGCAGGTACCTGCGAGGCGGCCGGGTCACCAGTAGGCGGCGTGTCGGACCCGAGTAGCGAGGAGCAGTCTGCGAGGTCCTGCAGGTCTATGGTGGTGAGGGCTGCTTGGAGAGACCGAGAGACATCCACCGCACGGACCCTAAGCCTCTGCGCCACGACGTCGGGAGCCCGGCACGGGCAGCCCAACGGGTCTCGCGGAGGTGCCGCGGGGCTCACCTGGCAGCTCAGCGGGCTCCACGTCGGGGGGATCCTCGTACACCGGCACCCGGCTGCCGCTGCCGCATCCAGGAATGAACTTCCGCGGAGGGGCGAACTAGCCGGGCACAGAAATGGTGAGTGCGGGTCGGCCCTTGAAGGCACGCGGGGGCGCAGATCCCTCCCGGCCTCGGCCAGCAGCCCCACCTTCCTGTCCAGCGTCCCGGGCTTGCCGAGGGACCGGCGAGGTGGCTCCAGCATCCTGTTGGGGCAGATGCTGTCGAAGGCCCGGCGTCCCGCCGCGCCACCCCAGCACGCCTGCATCCTGCCGGCTGCTCGGAGGAGGCGCCCAGGCTTGGGAGGGCGATGCAGCACACCTCGCGCTCGGCCGGGGCGCGCTGGCAGGCTCAGAAGGCGGCCCCAGGTCGCGGCTGGCGCGTGGCCGGGGAGGAGCCGAGGGGCGGCCTGGACTGTGCGGAGGGAGGGCCGGGCGGAGAAGGAGGGGCGGCTCGCGCCTGAGCGCCCGAGGTGGCGCCTTCAGCCCCGGACAATCTGCGCGCGGGCGGAGGCGTTAAACCCAACCTGGCAACGCGGCCTCCCCCGGGAGCGGCGAGCGCGGGGCCCGGCCCGCGAGCGCCCTTGGGGCGAGCGTTGGCGCCGCCGCCTCGCGGCCGCGCGAATCGCAAAAAAAGAAAAGAAGGAGAGGCGGGCGCACCGCACCCGTCTCCAGCACTGGGTGCCGCCCTCCCGTCTGCGGACAGCCGAGATGGAAAAGTCAACGATCCTGGTTCCCCTTTCTTCCCACGCCAGCCACCGGGCACGGCAGAAACGCGGGGCGATGCTCTCGGAAGCCAGACGCGGGCGTTTACTCTCCCACTCCGGACTTGGTGGGGACGAAGACGTCCGGCAGCGGCCGGAGTACAGAATCTCCTTCCCCAAAACCTGGGCAGCATTCAGGTCCTGACTCACCGACTTCCTCCTTAGCCGCACTTGGCCAGAAGCCCAGGGCCCTGCCTCGCACCCCTGGCCCCGCACTTTCCCGGGCAGTTGGGCGCCTGAGCCCGGCCTTTGAGAAGAGAATTGGTTTAGAGTGACCTGCAGATATCCTCACCTGGTTTTTGCAAGCGGCTCGCTGGACAGCCCCAGACGCGCTAAAACCTCCCCGCTGCCGGCCTGACTGCTCTCCTACTGGCTTCTGCGGGGGCATCTCCCGGAAAGGAGCCCCCCACGGGGAGGGCAACGCTTGCGGGGTGCCCCTCAGATCCGTCCGGCTTGACGGCACAGTGGACACTGGCATCTTGTTTTTGCCTCGTTCCTAGTAAAAGTAGTCAAGATCCCCTTGGAAAGCGACGTGGTCGGCTTTTATTTTAGCGCCCATTATCTGGGTGAAGCAGCAAGATGCTCCTAGCAGTGATGGGGTTCTTAGGGCCTCTGATTTGTCTTTGAATGCAGGGTCAGAGCCTGCTAGACTGGATGTGACGGTGCACAGGGGTGGGGCCTTTGGCTTTTAGGGGTCACTTGGCCAGATGCAAAGGCCCAGGTCTTTGGGAAAAACAGTGACACCTCAATAGAGCTGCTGTGGAGATGAGAGATTTATATCAGGCGATTAGTGCTTGGGTGGATACATTAATGCTGATCATTTTTTAAGGCAATCTTTTCAGCTTCCCGGAGCTGGTTCCCGGTTCTGTCTGATCCAGGAGTAGTGCAGCCCACCAACTGGTCCCTCTTCTCCCTCTCCTCACCCACTTCCCTCCCAGGCTGTAAGTGAGCTGGGAAGCTCTTGGCTGAGTTTTGCAGAGATCTCTCTACACGTGGAGACTATCACAGATTTTCCAGGGCAGCCTCGGTGTTTTTGAAATAGTCATCAAAATAGCCCCAAATTGGGGCGGAAAAAATATGGGCATCACACGAGAGATTGCCTGTAGCAACAGAACTGGAGAAGCGTGATTCTATGCCCCCTAGCCTGCATGATTCTGAAATCAGAGCGCAGCAGCACAAGGGACAGGAGTGGAGTTTTAGGGGATTTGGCTGAGTGGATACTTTCGCAGACAACTTCTTCCCAAGTCACTCTTTTGCAGATGCCAGGCTGGGAGCCCCAGGTAGGTTGGGACTTGGGACAGGTGATGTTCACTGAACAGGTTGCGGACCAGTACTTCCAGCTCTGTGAGAAGAGCTTAGCATATCAACCTGTCAGGAGAGAAGGGATCCAAGGAGCCCAAAGCAAGGCACCCAGGCTCTGGAGGGCATTTGGAACTGTGGGAAGAAGTACAAAGTGGTTTCTCTGAATTTGCTTGCAGGTTGTTTACTGTTTATTCATATTGGTTATACATTTTTATTTGTTCTAACTGCAGTGGAACATGTCTTGGATTTTTCCTCCCCAGAAAAACTTTTTTCCACCATGCAAAAATTAATACAATGAACCATATGCTCACCCCCAGTTGTTACCACTCTCATATTTGCTTTCTCTTTTCCTTTGCTCCAAGGTTTTCTGCATAATTCCTCTGGCTCCCATAACTACACAAACTCCTACTGACCATTTCTCAAAGGCTTGCTACATTCCAAGCACCTTGCTAGGGCAGTTGTACAAAATGTCTCATTAGCTCCATACCTCAAGCCTATCAAATAAGTGTGCTCATTATTCCAGATAAGACCTGGACAAAGAGATGTGATTTAAAGTCACCCAGGAAATTGGCTCCTGAGCCTGCCCGTTTGATCACTACTCTGTGCTACCTAATATAGAGATCATGCTACGTAAGCGTAACCTCATCTAAGGTTCCCAACAACCCTTACACAGAACCTGGGTTGAATTTGCTGGAGGTGAAGGTCTGGGTGATACCCATACAAGAATCTCAGAGCCACCGCTGTGAGAGTGAAGATGGGACAGCTAAGGGCCGCAGAACTCAGGTGACGGGGGAGCCTGTCTCACTGCTCAGCTCCAGTTGTCCTTCAAGATCGAGGATGTGACTGGGGGCAAGGACTGGGCTGTCTCTCCCGAGCCCACCACAGGAAAGAGGTTTTTGAACACTTCCAGAAAACTACATGGAGTCTTTGAAAAAGAAAAAAAAAAAGACCCGAAAATGTATATTTTGAAAAGACCATGCATGGGTTCCAAAAATATTTGCACCCCAATAAACTTATCTAATTCCACTTTCTAAGAACTTTTTGAATTACCCTCATAGAAATGAGGAAAGTTTAGCAAAGTGGCTAATGGTAGGGCCCTGGACTTGGATCTGCCTTCAAACTCCTCTGGCTTCTCCATGCTTAACTGTCCTCTACAGAACGTGATGATAGACGGTGCTTTCTAGAACTGTTGCAGGATTGACAATGAGTGCTGAACACCGTACAGGTATGCAGTGAGCCCTCAGCATAGCCCCGATTACCATCACACATTGTCGTCGCCCTGGGCTCTTACACAGCACAGCGTGAGCAGGTGAACCGCCTGATAGCAGAGTAAATGGACTCCACTTGAAAAGGCCACAGTGGACCAACACTAGGTCAACTGTGCTGGATTCTCTGTGTCAAGGGATCTTCTCCATCCACTCGTGGGCCTGCCTGGCTCTCCAATTTCACCATCAGCAGGTGCAACTGTGGTCCCTCTGGACAGCCTGCACAGCTCCGTTCTGCTTCACGCCCCCCCTCCCACACACACACATCAAGGGTGTACAGTTCTTAGCTTCCTGACACTAAGGGCATAGGCCCCAACCCTAGAAGTGACCCCGACTCCTGGTATCATCTAGAACTTCACCAAATCTGGCATTCCTGCGGAGGTGCCAGCTACAGAGTGGACCCAAGGGAGGGGAGGATCCCCCAGTCCTGAGCAGACAGAGGCGCGCGGTCACGGCACAAGGACAAACCAGGACAGGCAGCCTGTTTATTGGACAAAGACTCAGCTGGCTCCTGTGTTCTCAGTAAAATAAATAAACCTACTATATTCTATAATCGTCCATTATTTACAACCTGCAGGAGGCCCCCTCTGTGGACCCTCGGCACCTTCATGAGGCCTTGGGAGAGGTCCCGCAGCTGGGCGGGCGGGCAGGCAGGCAGCGAGAGCAGCTCAGCTTTATGTCGGGCTCGGGCACAGGCTGCACTTCTCGCAGATCTCGAGGGGTAGCATGTGCGTCAGAGAGGTCCTGTTTATGGCCACCAACAGTTGGAGCTTGCCCATACAGTCCTGCAGCACAGCCTCGGGGTGGCCGCCCAGGCGCAGGTCCAAGGGGTGCGGGAGCCGAAGCATGCGGTCGGCCAGCGCCAGGCAACAGATGGCCATCAGGGAGGGGGCGTAGCTGGTGAAGGCGTAGTCGGCCAGGCTCAGCTCGGCCACGCCCCGCGCCAGGGCTTGGGCTTCCAGCGCTTGCGAGACCTCCGCCTGCCCGGCGTCCACGCGCGCGTGCGTGAAGTGCTCCAGGAAGAAGCTGATGGTGGGCGCGCCCAGGCTGAAGTGCAGCTTGTGAAGTACGATGCACTCCAGGTTGCACAGCTGCTGCCGGGAGAAGGCCCCGCAGCACAGGGCCAGCAGCTGCTTCACACGCGGCGGGTGCACCTCCACCTGCAACACAGGGCGTGCTCAGCTCCTGCCTCGAGGTTGCCAGGACCCAAGGCCTGCGCCCCCCAGGGTTGAAACCCGGGTTCCCCTTATTCCTTCCAGACGGACAGGGCCCCAGCTTTGCCTCCTTATCGCTTCCACTTGAATCACTCGGGGAATGCGTTCAGCGCGGCTTCTCTAACTAACCCCTGTGCAACTGAAAGAGGGCTTGGGAACTCCGCAGGGTTTCTTCCCCGAGACCAGAGTAAAGGCGCAGCAGAGCTGTTTGGAGCTGACCTCAGCCTATTTTCCTTCAGGACTTAGGGTTATTAGGTTGGGGCGGGATGTGTGTATTTGCCAGCGTCGTCCGTGCGGGGAGAGCGACTTTACCCACCTCCCAGCACCGCGGGCAGGTACCTGTTTGCAAGCGATGAGCAGGGAGGTGACCCCGAGCAGCTGGAAGCAATCTGCGGCCACGGGCGTGGTGGTGAGGAAACGGTCCAGCGTGTTCACCGTGAGGCACAGCGACTCGAAGGAGAGGCCGAATTGGCGGTGCACGGGGATCAGCCAGCTGAGCAGTTTGCAGCGGGATTCGGCCGTCACCTGCCGGGAGGGAGAGGAGGCGGGCCGGTTGAGCCTGAGCGGAGAGGGACTGCGGCGGGGAAGAACCGAGGCGACTGAGGGAGCTCCCCCGGAGCGAGGCAGCCGGAGGGAAAACGCTAAAGGCTTTGGGAAGCGGGCGGCCCCGGCTGCGGGAGGCGGCGGCGGCGGCGGCCGGGGCTGGGAGCCGGGCTGCCCAAGTTCGTGCTTTCCTCCAGTAGAGCTCCCAGCAACTCAATGCAAAGGGGGCCAGGGCTCCACTGTGCAGCTGCAGAACGAGCT